ATGTTTTGTGATTATTCAAAAGCCTTTGACTGTGTACAACATCAGAAGCTTTGGGAAATCATGAGGAATATGGGCTTTCCATCACATATAGTGCAGCTCATTAAAATGCTCTATCAAGACCAAACAAGCAGCAGTCAGAATAGATGGAGAGACATCAGACTGGTTTGGCATCAAGCAAGGAGTCCGTCAGGGATGTGTGCTGTCACCGTATTTGTTCAACCTGTACGCCGAAAATATAATGAGAAATGTAAGAGATGATATAAACAAGGAACAATATGATGCCCTAAACATCGGTGGTCATGAAATACCAGAAATTCGTTATGCTGATGATACAGTATTACTATCAACATCACAAAATGGTTTAGAAAACTTATTAACCTCACTCCAAAGAAATAGTGAAAATCATAACTTATTTCTTAACACAGCAAAAACAAAGATAATGCATACAAAACAAAACTGCCATGGAGAAGGAAATATATGTTAATGAGGAAAGATTGGAAGTGGTGGAAAATTTCGAATATCTTGGGTCACTGGTTACCAACAATGGTGACACAATGAAAGAAATTAAACGGCGACTATCAATTGCTCTTCAAAGACTAAAACAACTGAATAAATTATGGAATTGTACAGATAGAATTACAAAGGTCAGATTTTTAAGAGCATGCATCTTTCCCATTGCAACATACGCCTGTGAGACCCTGGACACTTACTAAACAAGCGGAACAGCGCATAAATGCATTTGAATATAAATGTTACAGACAGGTTCTAAGAATATCTTGGGTAAAGAAAAGAACAAATGCATCCATACTTCAAGAGCTGAATATTGAAGAGGGTTGGCTAGTAAAGACAATAAAACAAAGAAAATTGAAATATTTTGGTCACTTGAAACGTCATGGAGGTCTAGAGAGAACAATAATGGAGGGGTATATGCCTGGGAAGAGAGGAAGAGGAAGGCCAAGGAGAAGATGGGTGCAGGATGTGGCAGATCTCCAGATGGGTGTATCAGACGCAGGACATCTTGCTCATGATAGGAAGGTTTTCCGGAGGGTTGTTATGGCAGCGAGGTTCCGCGAGGGACATGCTACTGAATGAATGAATGAATGAATCATACCACTATTTTTTTTAAATTCTGCGCAGTCACCAGTTGTTGTTTATTAGTAATTGCCTTGGCTGTTTTCCGTGTTTCCGCTCCATACAATAGCACGGATTTGACATTAGAAAAACAAATTTTAGGTTTAGTATTAGTTGTCATTTCCTTTGACCTTCACTAGTTTTATAGTGCTATGAAAGCTTCTCTTGCCTATTATATTTGTATTTTAATATCTCTATTTTTTCCCTATTCTTTTCCGTATTACTGCCCAAACAAATGAACGACTTCGGGTTTTGGAGTGGGATACTATTAAGAGAAACCACATGGTTTTGCAAGGTATATTTTAAATATCTTTTTATTAAATATATTTTACCGTTCTATTTTTGTAATTACCGTCTGGGAAGGTAGTGCATTATATACTGGTATAGTGAGTATTGCCCCCCCCCCCCCTCACAGACATTACAGCTTTGTTCACTGCCGATTATAATGGGTAAATTGCTAACAATATTAGGTCAAGGAACTTCAGTATCAGGAAATGATATCCGTTGTTTAACAACCACATGCGAATACCTGCCACCGCCGAGGAAGACATGCACAACTAAAAAAAAGCTCTTTCTGTAATAGTCAGCACCATTATAGCTCAGATCAGTTACTAAAACATTGGTATGCAGCAGTAACTGTTTCATGGCGCTTGAAATATGACGTAATACACAATTTTAATTATTTTATGGTTGGTTTGTCGGACAGACATTAACCAGGTAGATATCGCTTGGGCAGACATTGATCCGGAAAATCTTGGCTTGCAGAAGGGGGTGGGGGGAAGGGGGCTTTTGGAAAACTATCGGGATTCGCACACGTAGGATTCTCATCCTTGAGTTGTTAATCCTGCAGACTACAACCCTGGAGTAAACAAACTACCCCGTGAGCCGACAAAGATGCACGAGTTGCTTTAATGGGCCCAGTATAGCTCATCACATGTGGACCAGACGGCCAAAAAAAAAAAAACGACGAAACACAAATGAGTCTGGGCATATGTGGTGTCACGAAACAAACCCAGAAGGCCCACCCAGACGAAAAATAACAGTTGAGTTGGATATATAAACCATGAAAGGCATAAAAAATGGTACAAATAGTCAAAACGAAATTACATCATCAAGACGGACGACAAAGGAGAAAAAGAGGAGTATGTTTCAGACAGATACCATTCAATCTTTTATGTCGTTGATTAGGAATTCTTCTGATTTCAGTTGTTAATATCTTGTGATTCTGTTTCTATAATCTGAGTCACAACAATCCCCCCCCCCCCCCCCCCGCGCAGGTTATTTTTCAACTGCAAAGTACTGTGCAAACAGTAAGTTAATGAGACTGCTGCTGGTACCATCGACGTGCAAACTCTTCGTTGACTGCTGAAGGTTTGTGTAGAGCGCACATGGGAGTGTCCCGACTGCTAAGTGGCAGTTTTTAACTCTGCTAAGCACCGGAAATAATAGCTAGTTATTGTTTTCTGAATTTTTCAAAACATATTCAATATTTGTTTTCTTGTAAAACTAAATTACGATTTTTAAATTTTCAAGGGAACGCACTGTAAACAATCTTTCCGGTCCTCTCTTCCTTTCCCCCATTGCTGTTACAGAAGCGCAGGTAACTTATATAGTCATTGGATTACAATCGTAATTCATCTGTTTTATATTAGTTTAAACTTGATCATACACATGCAGACAATTGTCATCATGGTATATTATATACTTTTAAAAATTAATATTTGTTGTACAATGGTATGTGTCAATTATATACAGATTTTATGCAACATCATATCTCATGTTCTCTCACAAGGATAACATTTTCTTGTAGCCAGCCATTAAAAGAAAAGACATTTACATATTGAGGTTCAACTAATAAATTCGTATTTCATTGTTGGAATAGTGGACAGACTGTAAAATTAAAATACTAAATTCCAGTTGAGATGAGATTCCATAGGGCTAGGGGAAAATACAATTCTAACGTAAATTATTAAACATTTGCTTTAGCAGTTCCATATAGTTATTCCAGTTGTTTAATTTTTTTTAGTGAGATAGTGTCAAGATACCATGACTATTGTTATAATTATGACGTTATATAATTTTAAAAAATTGCATTGTTACACATCGTGGGAAAACGCATGCCTTCAAATTGTTTATTAAATATGCAAAGTTAGTTTTATGGTTTATACAAAATACAACCGATCAATATCATGGCACAATGCTCAATGGTAGCAACCCAAAAGTGCTCTGTTCTTATTCTAACTCAAGCCTGAGTCTGAAAAATCCCAGTGTAGTGCACGAACTCAGCAGCACTGGCGAGTATCCTAAAATACCTTGGGTAGATTTTATAACTCCAAATTTTGCCTGGGCCTTCTATGCCACTTTTTTCGATGTACCAACTGCCCGCATAACAATGGGGCGCTAATATAAAAGTTTAACTATCAGTGCAGTATTGTCATTTCTTAAGATATAGGTCTGCACACACGCAGTCTTATTGTACGACTATCCTCCGAACTTCAGGCACTAAAGATGGCAGCTGCTAAATATTCTTTCAAGCCACAGTCATGTGACTTAATTTGCGGTTCTCCGCCGACTACTGCAAGTCCATCATGCTGCTCTCGCAGCGTGGATTTGGGCTGAACCAGATGGCTTGGACTCACGAGCAAAGCTTCAGGAAATGCGGAAGCTGTTGCTCGAGCGGCCTGGGACACTCGTGACAGTGGAGGCAACCGCAGGAGAACCGCAAATTAAGTCGCCGGAAGTGCACAATTTTACACGAGGCTGGCTCAATATTTTGCGGCCGCCATCTTTAGTGTCCAAAGTTCTGAGGATAGCCAATTTTACATATATACAGTGTTCTTAATGTCTTATTCTGTTTGCCCCCAAAAGGGCAGTTGATACATTTTAGTATTTACAGTATATGTGCCAGAATTTATACCAACACATCCGTCTTGTGGAAATCGCATGTGGGAATTACCAAAAAGAAATAGTAAATTAGATTATTCCTCCCCCGTGTGGTTTCCGGGGCCCTATTGTGGGGAAAACAAGAATAGACCCACTGCCTCCCCAAAAGCATGTCGTAAGAGTCGACTAACTGGGGAGCTTCCTTTGAAGTCGGAGTGCATCTGCCTGAGAGGCAAGGAACCAGCAGTCTGCATTCAATTGAATCAGATCTGTAAAACTGATGCACATGCAACACTCAGGTTCTGGAGCATGACTGCAGTCCAGAAGTGGACGAACAACCAGAACTTTACGCCAGAGTGTACAGCTGGTAAACACAAAGAAGAAGAAGAAGATTATTCCTGTTATCCTTTCAGATTTTGGAGCAGATATAAAGCTATCTTCCGAATAATATGGTCCTAAATTGTCGAGGCCAAAAATACACTGTAACAGGGCCTCAGTCACGTGTCAATTGCGAACGTTCTGCGACTTAAATTGCACACTTCTGGTGACTACTGCCACCGCCGAGGGTATCTCCCATGCCGCTACGCTAAACTAGAGGGCTGGGACTCACCAGCAGCAGCTACTGCACATCCTGCAGCTTTGCTCGTGAGTCCTAGCCATCTAGTTAGGCCCTAATCCGAGCCACGCATAGAGGCGTGGGAGATACTCTCGGCGGTGGCAGTAGTCCCTGAAAGTTCGCAATTGGCACGTGACTGAGGCCATGTTAAAGTGAATTTTTGGCCTCGAAATTTAGGACTGTTGTAAGGAGGATAGCCAAATATAATTATAAATATAATAAACTGCCTATCCCTGTGGTGTAGGGTTTACTAAGACTTAGTTTGAAATATTGTAGTGTCATCATGTATGTATATGAATTTTTCAACTGGTTTATTAGTTTATCTTATTGCATTCAGCTGTAAAGACATCCATATTTTTTCAGCATCAAGATGTTGATTCCCAAGAAGAACAGAGTTGCTATTTACGAGTACCTCTTCAAAGAGGGCGTTCTTGTTGCCAAGAAGGATTTTTTTGCACCCAAGCATCCTGAAATTGAAGTGCCAAACCTTCATGTTATCAAGGCTTTAACGGTAGGCTAAAGATAGTTGTATTATTGGAGTATACCTAACCTTATCCTGCATGCCTGAGTGTAGTGTATAAAGTTTGTTAGTCTTCTTGTGTCAGCTTCGAAACCATTGGGTGACGGGGTGTTAACTTGAAAATTACAGAGATCCAGTGTCTGTTAACAAATATGTCAAGAAAGGAAACCTGTTAATGGTTTTGTAAAATTTATTGTTGGGCTGAACTGCACAGATATCCCACATCCGTAATCACAACAGAGGGTGCCAGAAGCCCTTTTAAGCAAATATTTATTTTTAGCTTTCACCAGCTGTAAACTGGTGGAAAGTTCTGGTTGTTTGTCCACTTCTGGACTGAAGTTCTATTCCAGAACTTGAGTGTTGCATGTGCATCCATTTTGACAGGACTCATTTATATACAGACTGCTGGTTCCTTGCCTCTGAGGCAGGTATGAGTGGTATGCACTCCGACTTTGAAGGAAGCTCCCAGTTAGTTGACTCTTACGACATGCTTTTTTATAAGCAGTGGATCTAATCTGGTTTTCCATATAACAGGGCTCCCGAATCAACACATAAGCAGATATGTAGCTTTTTTTTTAAATGAAACTTTAATGGCCAAATAGACCTTTAAAATCTAGCTAAGTCTTTATTGAAGCCTGTTGGTCCGTTCTAGGTAAAGACACACAGATAATAAAAGGAAGTATTTTATTTCAAGAAATGAGCCTTGTGCTTTGATTTCATTAGTCTGTTTTATCACTTATTATAAATAGATGCTTACTTCATGCCATGTTACTGCTGTTTAATTTCTCATACAAAATGTTTCTGTGTAAGTTCCATTTCATTGTAATTTCTAATTAAAGAAATGTAATACTGCGTCATCAGAGCTTGAAGTCTAAGGGTTTGGTGCGTGAACAGTTTGCATGGAGGCACTACTACTGGTATTTGACCAATGAGGGCATTCAGTACTTGCGAGAATTCCTACACCTGCCAGCTGAGATTGTTCCTGCCACACTCAAGAGACAGACACGCCCAGAGGCACCCAGGCCAACCAGACCTAAGAGTATGTAGAAACGTTTTTCTTATTGGTGTTTATCGGCTGTAAACTCAGGTTTAGAATGTTTGCCCACTTCTGGACCGTGGTCTTATTTCAGAATTTGAGTTTGGCATGCATGCAAGTTTTTTTTATTTTTTATGTATATGTTACTTCATGCAGACTTTTAAGGAAACACCCATATGTTAGGTTTTTACAACATACTTGGGAAGAAAGGCAACTAGCAAACTTTTACTATTGTAAAAGTCGAGTAATTGTGCATGTTTTCTTCCTGTTTTCAAATAAGCCAGAACTGGAAAAAATTGTGGGCTCCAAACCCGACAAGTTCTGGTACAAGACTACTACAGCCCAGAAGTGGACAAATCACCAGAGATGACAGCTAGTGAATGCTAAAAAAGAATAAAAGATTATTTGTATCCTGCTAAATAATAATGGTCATTTCAGCAGCTTGTGTTTGTAAATCACTTGTCTAATGCAAGTTTCTTTTCTTATGCTGTTAATTATGGGAGAGAAACACAATTGGACTGCAAGTCATTTTGTGTAATCATAGCGTTGCCACATATAACCGCTTTTATGGTTTAACCGGGTTTCTAGTATTTGCTCCTGATCCTTGCCTGCGGATCTGGTGGTGATGTCATTGAATGATTGTCCCCTTCAAATTAACCATCATCTCAACATTTTGACTACATTAGCCACGATTCGATGGCATGGCATAAGAAACAACCAAAGAGATAATGTAGGAGGACATACACAACAAATGAAGAAACCACAGATAAGATTCCATCTTCACACACACACACACTTTACTGAAGTAACTGACTTATCTATAAAAATATCGGGTAAGCTCCAGATAACGTGTGCCCTTAGGGTGTGGTAAAGATGCCCTTCTAAAATCATACACATATAAGATCAACATATCTGAACCATCACACTTACCCAGTAATTAAGAGATCTTCATTGTGTTTTCCATGGCACCATTGATAGGAGTGAAATATAAGACCCACTATCTCATAGTAGGCGTGTTCTAAAAGGACTTTGCTGAAATCAGATAGAATAGGCTGAAAGATGCAAAATCTTGCAGCCTAGCCATAATGTGCCAACTGCTATTTTAAGAGACAACACAGAAAATAATTAAAAATGTTAAAAAGGTGAGCAATATAGTAATAATAGTAAAGGCTTTGAAAAAAAATGTCTTCATTTTTTTCTATCAAACAGCTTCAGAAGGTCCCCGCTCTGGAGGTACTGATCGCCAAGAGTACAGAAAGGCTGCAGGACGTAAGTACTTGATTGATTATTCTAAAATGTAGTTGCTATTGTCTTCAATTGCCATCACTTGTATAAAGTTAAGATGCTCCACTTCATTGCCCAGGGTTGGCTGTTCAACCAAGTTGACTAAGGGTCAAAAATGGGGATTGTCACGGGCTAGAACAGGGTTCTTAGTGGACCGGGAAATCTTGAATTGACAGTGAAATTGATTCTCCGACAAGAAACAGTGATTTTGACCTTTAAAAAGACATTCTGATCTTGAGAAGCCGTGAATTTTGACCGCCGCAATGAGATCGTCAGAAGTCCCGCGATTTTCAGCAGTTAGGCTTTTTTTTTTTTTGGGTCATTTAGCTAGTTTTGGCTACTTTCATTCATGGTCGTTTCAGGTATGAGGGCAGTTAATTATCGGCTATTTTCAGCCGAAATGGCTTGTTAAAGGGAAGGGCGGGCTGTGTTGCAGCCCATTAATACATGCGGTGTGGCATAGGGCGGGAATTAGCTGCTGCCGTCTGGTGGTTGTGTGCCTTTGTTTTTAGTGAGTCCGGCAGTATTAATAGTATAAATAGCTTTATGGCCATGCTTTCAAGATAGGATTACGTTGGGAGACGGTGGGGCTCGGGTCCTTTTGTGGTGGGGATAAGCAAAGTGACGTCAGCTGGATTTCCCAGTTCTATTTTTGGTGTGGTTTATCTTTACACAGTGTGTTTGGCGATCAATATTGTAATTCCACGAGATTCCCTCTTCTGTTGTCTCACCCTCTCTCTCTCCCCCTACCTCTTTCACTCTTCTACCTCTTGCTCCCTCCTTCTCGTCTCCTGCATTCTCTCACCATCCCCTCTGATCTTCATCTTCTCTTTCTTTCCTTTTACTCTCTCCTTCCACCCCCCCCCCTTTTTTTTTTTCCAATTTTATTTCTTGTTTAAATGTTTAGTAAAAGTGCTGCTCCATAACTTTTCCTAGTAACTGTCAAGTACACAGGAAATTGTGTTGTTTGGGAGGGGGGTTCGGCATGAACATGGTGAATAGTGTGTGTGTTTTCTTAGTGGGCCTTAATTAGCCTTTATCTCTGTCCATCTCCCTGGCTGCTCCTTCACATTTTATCCTACCTGTTCCTCTCTCTGCCTCTCTTTGTTCTTTTTGTATTTGCCGCTCCCCTCTCCCCCCCCCCCCACTCTCTCTCCCTCACTCTCTGTCCCTCTCTCTCTCTCATTCTCCATACCTTCAATTGGCGTAGACGGTTATGTGTTGCCGAGTGCAGAACATTTCATGTCCACCACTCCCCTCTTTCTCACACATATTAACTATATGTGTACTTTTTAAACACATTTGCCGTCACTCCCCTCTCTCCTCCCACATTGATGACACTGGGGGGGGGGGTGCACCCCTTCCCCGCTACCTTCTTTCCTCTCTATCTCATCTTATTTCTTTCTCTCTTCTTTCTCTCCCTGTCTGTTCCCACTTTTTTCTCTCTATCTCTCACCTTTGTCTCACCCTTACCATCTCAGCCTTCTACACCACCTCCTCTTCCCTCTCCTTTCTGTAATTGGAAAATCAGAAATAAAGCAGTCCACTGGCGCACTGAATTTTTTTTATATCCTGCTCTATTTTCCACAAGTGGTGGGTTGGGACACCCCTCCCCCCTCGATTTTTTTCCCCTTCATAAAATGACCTTGGCTCCCAGGTCAACAGCCTTGAATGTTAAGAAAGGGGACTATCTGTTGCCACAATACAAGCAAAGGGGGGAGGGGTGGTTTAGCACTGTTTATAGACGGCCACATTCACATTGGGAGAGGGTAGGAACCTGAGAAGTGGCCTCACTTAGATTTCATAATTCTGTTTTTGGTGCTCAGGATTCTTATCGCTCCCCCTCCCCCCACTATTATCAAGTGCCCAACAGGAAGATGGGCACAAGATATAAGTGACTCCTTGAGTAGGAAAGTACATAAGACGGGAGAGCTAGTGAGAGAGTTTCTTTCAGGACAAAGGACCTGCTACATGTACATTGTGTGCCTGGTACACCCTTGAACAAGGCACAAATCTTGTTTCAGTATTACGAGACAACCTTGAAAAACACTAAGGAGACTGTGAAAAGCCTTGAAATTGATTGGTAAATTTGGCTATGAACCCTGCAGAAGCACCAGCATAAAGAAGATGCATAAATACAACTAGCAGTGATTTATGAGCCACTTGATAGGCCTTGGAGGCCGCTAGTTGAATAGCCCTGGTCTGGGGTTTTAGCCCATATGGCTCAGCTGGTATCTGCAGAATGGCTAGATGCCTGCCAAGAGCATCACACAAAGCACAGCCGTAGTAGTTTCCATGAGGATCCCCAGGGTTCTCAGTAATTATAGCACAGATGAACAGAGTACAGCAGCCATGAAACAAACTTTTGACCACTTTGCCACAGAGACTCCCTTTCACTTGTAAGCAAGGCACTAATGTTAACTTAAAAGTAAAATGAAATTATAATTAGCAAAATTGAACCATTGTCTTTTAACTATATATTCCACCCCCCCCCCCCCCCCCTTTTTTTTTCTTTTTCTGCAGCTGGCACAGACAAAAAGTCTGAGGTTGGGGCTGGATCACAGCAGTTTGAATTTGTAAGTGATTATACAAGCTTTTATTGTGTTGTTAGGCAGGTGTGTTTCTCATATCAGCTCCTACCTGTTTGCATGGTTGTACATAGAGGTCAGGGTGGTACATGTCAATATGTTGGGTCTTCAAGTGACATTGCATACCTACCCTACCATTTTGTCACTGTTGTGGTTTTACTAGGCAGTATTTTAGTTAGTAGTTTGCCATTGCCTTTTTTGACACTCGTACCATTGTCTTATTCAATATACAATGTGCTGCTAAATCACCTGCAGTTTTCTCACTCTGCATTAGAATATAACTGTTGACAAAAACTAAGCTAGAGATGGTGATGTGGTGAACCATTTTTATGTTGGGGGGGGGAACCACTGCATTACTTAACAATCACACTGCCCTGAATTCCACATGGTAATATTGTGTATTATCACCTTTACTTTTCATAATATTTATGGACAATATTAATAAAATAGACATAACACCAACAGATGTCGATAAACAGGAGGACTTCAATAAGCTGCTCTTTGCCGACGATCAATGCATATTTCACAGTGATAGTAAACAGCTGCAAGACCACATGAACCTACTACACGACAGTTGCCTCAAGCATATGAAGATCAATACTGAAAAGACAGAAGTCATGAGCATAAGTAGAGAGCAACAGACCATCGACATAAAGATTCTAGATCACAGCCTAAAACAAGTGCAAGAATTTAAATACCTGGGAAGTATCTTTACATCCAATGGTAAAATAGACAGAGAGATTGAAGCAAGAATCCAACAAGCCAACAATGTCGCATACCAGCTTGCCCCAATTTTAAAACACCCTGCTGTCCCAGCTGAGATAAAAAGACAAATTATAAATACAATCTTTATACCGACATTAGGTTATCAATGTCAGACTTGGACATTAACAAAAGAACATGAGAGAAGACTAACCACCTGTGAAATGAGATGTTTGAGAATGGCTGCGAATAAAACCAGAAGAGATCGAGTGAGAAACGATGTGATTACAAGAACTATTGGAACCATACCCATCGTTAAATTTATTGAGAAGCAAAGAATGAAATGGTTTGGTCACCTAATGAGAATGGAACCAACGATGCCAGCATCAAGAGCATACAACATGAAAATCGAAACAACAAGAGGCAGGGGAAGACCAAGAAGAAGATGGATTGAAGGAGTCACGGACAACTTGAGACTTCATAACATCACGGCATATGAAGCGACTGAGCGCGCCCTGGCTCGGTTGCCGATCATCTGATAGACTGCGACGCCTAGCGGCACAAGCAGATTTTGACAACAGAAGAATATTGTTTGAATCCTTAAGTAGATTTGTTTTAATATCTACTTGGATGATCATATGACTCTAAATGGGTACTAAATAATGTTATTTAAACATTTGATTAAGCATTTATTCACACCAGCTGCATGTAGTATATTGGAGCCACAGTGTTTGTTTTTTTGTTTTACTGGTTGTCGTTGGCTGTTCACTTAAAGAAAGTAATGAGGTACCTGACTGGTAAAGATATTCTAGGGTTCAATCAAAACCCTTAGATGATAGTAAAACGGGCAGCAGATTAACAGCACTTGAACGTACCACCTGTACATGCCTTGAGGTTTCAAGTGTGTTGTGGGTCCTATTTTGTGGATCAAACATTCAGTGAATGAATTGGTTGGTATCATGATTGTATGTCCCATATTATATTCTGGTACTTTTTTGGTTGTTTAAGCTGCTGGGACCTTTAGAGCCAAGATTACTTTTTACTTTTCTAGACATGTGAATGTCAATGTTGGCAGTCAAGTGTGCCGCCGCTGCTTCTCTTTTGGACGGCGTCATGATGTGACTTTCTAAATAATTGCTCCTGTGAGTTCTTGGGCCCCATTGTGAGAAAATCAAAAATAGACCTGCTGCCTCTGCAAGCATGTCATAGGATTGGACTAATTCGGAGCCTCCTTCATAGTCAGATTGTGTTTGTCCGAGCGGCAAGGAACAACAAATAAGCCAGTAAAATGTATGTATACACAAAACTTAGGCGCTGGCACAAGCCAGTGTCCAAATGGACAAACAATAATAACTGCAGCCAGAGCTTACAGCCAGTGAACAGAAGAAGATTAAGTACTGATTTCCAGTCACTGTTGAATCAGTTTGCTAATTTTGTATTAATTTTTATTTTTGTGTGTGCTTATGTAATGCCGTATATTTTCATTCCTGTTTGTTTTAATTAATAAATCTGTTTTATTCTTTTAGAGAGGTGGATATGGACGTGGCCGAGGTGGATTCGGTGGTAGTGCTCCTAGTGATCAGTAAATTCAAGTATCTAAGCAGACTATGTGAATAAAATATATTGACATAGACTTTCATTTCCTTTGTGGTTTTTTTCTTGCAATCATTTGTTATGGATAGATAGATGTCCCGGATAGTTTTTTTGCAACCAGCTAATGACTTGGTTATGATAGCATCTCTGTGTTTCAGAAATGTCGCATCTCTGACACTCTGTTGCATCTTAAACTATCTGGACAGTAAGATCAGTAATCTATTATTTCAAGTGATGATACTGTATAATCATTAAAAGCCTTGTCTTCTGGCAGGGATCATATTTCACTGCATCATTTTGCCCTTATACAGTATGAATTGCTGGGACTTTCTGTTGCGTAAGAGAAAGCTGTCAGGGGAAAAAAGCTACAGACCCATTAGATTAGCCCTTTTAGCTGCGTAGAATGGCAAAATTAGTTAACAAAGACTAAATTGGAGACAAACTAGACAATCACCCCACACAGACACAATACAGACAGTACAGAAACAGATGACCAGTTGACATTTCTAGCACAGGAGATAGGATAGTTTGGACAGCTTCTGAATACACTACCAGTTTTATTTGTTAGATAAATGGAAAATGTAGGAGCCTAGACTGAAGTGGAGTCCAAAGCCAAATAAAACAAACAAAAAAGCACAGCACTGCCTCCCCCCCCCCCCCCCCCCCCCCCCCTCGACAAAAATAATTGTTGGGGTGCCAACTCTAGAATCCTGAAACAAGTACATACTGGAGCAGTCAGGCCACTCATGGAATATGCCTCCACTATGTGGGCTACAAAGATAAGAGAGAATAGCAGATACTGAACCATTAGAACTGAGAAGACAATTTAAAAAAAAAAAACTATTCTGCAGTATTAAAAAAAAGTCCGGAGATGTTTAACCAGCGTCATTGTACACGTTTATAAACCATAAATGATCTGCCACCAGTACGGACAGCTAAGAAACTCCGCACGTAACTAGTTACAGCGACGTTCCTCCATTCACCCCAGAGTGTCAACTCAGTACCCATGGGTGAACCCCTGGGAACTTGCCCGGTTTCAAACACCGACTGTGGCTGCATCGAGCCGCAGCTGGATTTAAAAGCGCACCGCCTATCTACTGCGCTAACGCAGCTCCGAACTCTACAGTTTAAAAAGACAACTGCAATTTAAATTTCAGAAAAGAACAACAGACGAGCGTCACAGTCCCACCCATCTTGCTAGAAAACTACAGGCAGCACCAAGATCTGCTTGAAAGAGATGGTGCAAAAAACTTAGGCCAGAACCATGGACAAGCAGGTCAGAAAAGGCCACTGTAGTCCTAAAAGTACCAGGGATCACTTCAGAAGATGCCTAGACGAAGATACAGTGGACAAACATGGCTCTTGCTATGCTTGAAGAGAAATATCCGAACACCACTTGGACTCTGGTTTTCACTGATGGCTCTGCTAAATATGAAGTCAAAAAGAGGAGCTATGGACTATACATTAAACATCCTAGCAGAAGAGCAGAAACTCTCTACTAGCAGGGGCCATCTGAACTAACTACAGAGCTGAGGCAACTCACTCAAGTACACGGCATAAAATTGGTATACTTTTGCTCTCCAAGGAAACAAAACTCTTCCTGTAGTGAACACCGACCCACAGTGGTATTCAAGGAAATGAGAGAGCGGATGAGCTGGAAGTCAGCTTCCACAACCCCATCGACCACACAACTTAAAGGAAACCAAAACAGCACTAAAGCAGTCTTTCAAGGGAGAGTGGTGAAGGCATATTGGAGACTACAGAAAAGAGTGACAGTATAAACAAACTCAACAGGAAAGATCAGTCACCAATTTTTAGGCTTCGGACAGGACTCTGTGATCTTAAAACAAATCTGCATAGGATAGGCATAAAAGAATCTCCGGCCTGTGATTGTGGACTAGAAAGACAGACCCATGAGCACATACTGCAGGACTGCCCAAACTACTACAGCGAAGCCTGTGGATCTGGTCCAAGGACCATTACAAGAGAAGGTGTCGGGGACCGGTGCGCGACCTCAGATGCACATCTCTATTTGTGACCCAGACGGAACTAAATGTTTACCATGGCCGATGTCGAACGCAAAAGAAGAAAGTTCTACAGCGTCTTGTAAAGGATACGCAATTAACTTAACCCTGTGTAGGACTGGGGCGAGATAGAGACCAACATCATTCTGCAAAAAAAAAAAAAAAAATTCACCTCGATGCTGATTCGATAGACTGCTTGACTGTATCAGAGACACCTAGACCAATCTGATTTGCTCTTGCCTATCAAGACAGTCGTCCATTTTCAATCCTCAACGGCTACGTAATTATTTTGTCATGACTGTTATAGCTCCAGGTTACTTGTAGTCGGTATCGACATTCCAGCACATCGGTCTCGCCCATTGGTTTTCCAATGTAGCAGCCATCTCGGTGTCTTCTGCTCACCGCACTCATTAGGAGTTGATTGTCATTTCTTGTTGTCTCTGCTCTGCAACCGGTTTCTACATGCTTGTCCTTGTTTAGTACCCATTTCTAATATCATCTCTAGCTTTGTCTAAGTGGATCTGAAACGTATTCATTATGTTTGTCGTGTCCAAGCTTCTTCTTCCCCTAATCACCTAGGACAGGGCTATTCAACTAAGTTTGCTCGCGGACCAGAATGTTGAACATGGAGATCGTCGCGGACCAGAATGTTGAACATGGAGATTGTCGCGGGCCAGAATGTTGAACATGGAGATTGTCGCGGACCAGAATGTTGAACATGGAGATTGTCGCGGACCAGAATGTTGAACATGGAGATTGTTGCGGACCAGAATGTTGAACATGGAGATTGTCGCGGACCAGAATGTTGAACATGGAGATTGTCGCGGACCAGAATGTTGAACATGGAGATTGTCGCGGACCAGAATGTTGAACATGGAGATTGTCGCGGACCAGAATGTTGAACATGGAGATTGTCGCGGACCAGAATGTTGAACATGGAGATTGTCGCGGGCCAGAATGTTGAACATGGAGATCGTCGCGGACCAGAATGTTGAACATGGAGATCGTCGCGGACCAGTGGCCCGAGCCCACTCTACAATTGACAACATTTTGAATCGGTAGATTTAATGCACTCGAAAACTATTACGCCTAGGACTTAGCCTATATAAATGAAGCTGTACTGTTAACCACTATAATGTAAAGTGTACTACAATCTTCTGTAATGATTAATTAATACTCACTTTTAATTTTTCTTCTTCTTCGTATTCACCGGCTGTAAACTCCAGCGGAAAGTTCTGGTTGTACATCTACTTCTGGGCTCTTGTCCTGTTCCAGAAACTGAGTGTTGCGTACACAACCGTTTTGAACGTCTTGCTCATTTGCAGGCAGAGTGTGGGTTCCTTGGCTCTCAGACAGATGTACTCCGTCATAGAAGGAAGCTCCCAATTAGTCGACTCTTGAGACATTCGTTTGGGCAGGCAGCGGGTCTATTCTCGTTTCCCCACAATAGGCCCCTGGAACCCACACGGGGATCAATTGTAATTGAAATACACGTATTTCCAACTTGTCGTTGGGATCATAAATAAAGGTTACCCTTGTGACTTCCATTACATTGGCACAATAACAATAATAACTGTTCACAGTTGGTTTCATGTTCTGCAGAAGAAACCGAAAGGTTGAGTTGAGTCGAGAATTGACATCACAGTACTCGGGGCATTCCAATGCATGCTCTGTCCTCATCTTCAGCAGCCAGTGAAGAGTTCAAATACTGATGGTACCGGTCATAATCGGGTTAAAAGTCCGTCTTACCTTTCCTCTGAGTGTAGTGAGCCGGTCAGACCCTCTGGTTACATACAGGTGCCTCATTCTCTCCAGGCCATAATAATAGAAACCGAAAGGTATAACGATGCAAAATGTAATTAATGGGAAATGATGCATTTTCGTTTTTGAGCGAATTTTACCAAATTTGGCTAGTGAGAAGTTAGAACAATTCTCATGTAATCCTGCAGCCTATTATTGCTCAGTTTGTCTTGATGACATTCACGTGTGATAAGCTTGATTCACAAGTGAAAGTTGAGCCAGATATGGTCAGTATGAATGCAGAAACTTTTCTACCATTAGGGAACTGCTCCTGTTGAATCCTCTCGTACCAAAACTTGGCGGTTCCACTTTTTTGAAAATCTTTATTCACTGTGATGGAACTTTGGATATACACAAGTTCTAACTGCAGAGAACCTTCATCAATAAAGGATATCAACTTCTTAGCGAGAAAACAAGGTGTGATGACGAAATTGGCATGCACCACTTGGGGAGCAGACAGTAGTATCTTGAAGCAGGTATACACCGGCACAGTCAGACCAACTCTCTAATACGCATCATCGTCATGGATAACAGCAGCCCATTCCAATTAACAGATACTAGACAAAACGCAAAATAGAAGTCTGCGCACAATTCTGGGAGCAATAAAATCTACACCTATTGTAGAAATGGAAAAGGCAGCCAACATCATCCCCTTTAAAGAAAGAAGAAGGACAAAAGCAATTCTACATGCTGAAAAAATGAAGAGAATGCTAAACCACCCATTACACGAAAAATTGGCAACAAGGACAAAAAAACAGAATAAAGCGCACAAGCCTAAACCATCTAACGAAGGAATTTGGAAAGTCATTCTCTTCACTACTTAACCAACAATGTACACCTGAAGAGCTATCTTTCGATCTCTGGGACTCCGAATTATTGACACTCAATGTGTCAACATCCATCCCGAACCTGGGAAACAAAGATGCTGAACCCGCTTTAGTGAAGAAAGCACTCACAATGGAACACATCAACAACATGTTCCCACAGGACAGCTGGACGAGAATCTACACGGATGGATCAGCAAAAGAGGCAACTACGAATGGTGGGGCAGGTGTTTACATAAAACACCCAGATGCCACTACTGTGTCCCTAGCAGCCCCCACCGGACGAACTTGCTCTAACTACAAGGCAGAACTCTCAGCTCTATAGATGGCAGCACAGTATATGAA